GGTATGGGGTAAAAAAAATTAAAAATTGAAGTTGAAAATATATATTTTTTAAAAAGCTTTAAGATTATTTTTTTTCAAAAAGATATTGATTTTTTTTTAAAAAAAATGGTAATTTGAAGTTGGAGGAAAGTTTAGAAAAATGTTTTCCTTAATTTTTGAAGGAAAGTCATTTTTCTCAAATTTGAGAAAAATGAGTTGATTTGAAAATTTTCAAAACATTTTACCCAACCAAACATGAGAAAATTGGAAAACATTTTCCTTAATACCAACACACTCTATGACTTACTTTTTCTCTGACTTTGCTTGGGTGGGAACTTACATGTTATTGGTTGGGTAAAATAAATTGGGTTGAAGAATTATTATGAGAGTGACATCCAAAATAGAGTTTCTTTTCCAATTAATGGCCTGACATTTGTAAAAATAATTTTATGCATCGTAGAGAGAAAATTATATAGTCATTAAAATTCTAATTATTAGTAGATATTCAGAAAAACATAATATACATACCTTCCAATAATTTGACCTAAAATATCATGATGTGAATCTGTGATAAGTTCATGATTATCGTGGGGCTTGTGTCCCAAATAGACGATGTAAAGCTGTACATCCAAAGAGTATACAATCAAGAATAAAAAATTAATAGTAATTAATTACTAGAGAGAATATTGAAAAAATTTCCTAAATTTGGCGCAAATTATTAGCTTCATTATCTTCGAACTATTGATGGCCTTAAAACACCAATCTACTTGATTACTAAACTTAGATACACCATCGATCATCCACGTGACATATATATCAATTGGTCTCAAACTCTTGTAGGAGCATGAAATATTTAATAAAAAATCGAGAGAATTGTTGAAAACATTCCTAAACTTGACGAGAATTTAGGGGTGTATTTCACTCATGTTGCAAGGTCGGGATTCAGGAGTGTATTTAAGTTCAGTTATTCAAATAAAAGGTTTTTAAGGCTATCAATAGTTTAGAGATGAAATCGATATATAATTCGCACCAAATTTAAAAGTGTTTTCAATATTCTCGCTAATTATTATATTCATATGTATCAATTGTCCCTTTTGGCCATCTTCAACATGAAAAGGAGTGGAAGAATATCGTATAAAATCATAAAAAAAAAAAAGCTAACTATTCTTACTCATACAATTTTCACGACTCACGTACACAAAAGGATATTACACCCTCCATTCTGTTTTGCTTGTAGCATTTACGACAAATAATTTACTGCAAAATCCTTATTATTTTAGAAAATGTAAAAAGAATTTCTTTTTTTTTCAATTTTATACTTACACCTAATAAATATTGAAAGAGATTAATGTGGGAAAAGTAAGAATTAGTTATAAATTAAAATTGAAGTATAAATAAGAATAATTTTGATAAATTATTATAGTTAATCAATATTTTTTAAATAGAGTTTAAACAACATGTAAAAGGGAAAGAAAGGAGTACAAGTTTCGAAGATAATTTTTTTTATATAAAAACTTCAATAATAATTGAATTATACCTTAGCATCTTCTACATTTGCTTTTGTTGTTATTGCACATAAACAAGTGAAGATTAACAAGAAAAATAAAAGAGAAGAAGTTGGATTATTCATTTTTTTTATTCTCTCCTTTCTTTAATAAAAAAACTCTGAAAGGGAGAAAATAACCCAACTTTTAGGTGAATTCAGAAACTATTTTTTAAATAAATTTTAGTACTAGCAATACATCAAGCTTTATATAGCCTATACTCACCACATAGAGTACTTGTATGGTGCAAGAAAACTTCGATCCTACTTTTACTCCTTAAAAAAATGATTGTGTTTTAAATATTTGCGATCGAATGTATACTATATATTTTTAAATGAGTGATAATACATGTGTTTTTCTTACTAATACAATCAGTGACGAGGTAAAATTTTTTGTTAAGAGATCACGTGAGAGTGTACTTTTGGTTCTTGGATTCTTGAAAGAAATGATTTTTTTTATTATTTGGAAGATAAATAGTGCATGGTAATTGAAAAGGGTTTGAAATCCTTTCCAAATTCAAAGATAAATGTAACATGTAAAAATGATTGGAAGGTCCCCCATAGTCTCATTATAAGCGGGAATAAATATGCATATTAATTAATTAATTAATAAATAGTGGTAATTTTTTTACTAATAATAGTTAATTGTTATTAGATCTAATATCGTTATAGGCTTTATCGATATTTACAAAGTGTTAAGAAAAACATATTTAGCGATAATTAAATCATTACCGTTAATTAATCGTATCATTTTTGAAGTAGTGCATAATGATTTCCTTCAAAGGTATAACTCAATGTGATTATATTTTCTATGTACTCCTGAGGTTTATCAATATTCAAATTGAATTGGGGGAATAAATTAAAGCTTATGAGTATTTTTCAATGCCTAAGCTAAGTTATGACAACCGTGAAATAATATACTATACCCCATTTAATTTTTTTCTATTGTATGGAATGAGATGCCTTTCTTATCTAATAATTAGAATCCTCTAGTCTTGATCTGCCCAAAATTATATAACCCTATAAATATACCTTAGTCAAGATCACATTATCACCAAACAATTCAACTTGACATCTTTGGCTAATTGTTGTGTAGCATCTAGCATCAATAATATTTAAAATGGTTGATCTCCAAAATCAACTTGGATTGAACAAGCATCAATCATACTCTCATGAGCAAAACTATAGATTATGATAGTAGTCATGGCCAAATAATGAGGCCTATAGGTTATTGTTCAACCATGTCATTTTCTCAGCCCATTCACAACAATCACATGATGATAGGCCATGGTTGCCACACCCAACACCATGATAGACATTATGGACATGACAACTATGGTAGTCATGGGTAGGGATGTACATGACCGGGTTGGTTCGGGTTTTTCAAATATCAAACCAAACCATTTGTGTAAAAAATTTAAATTTATAAAATCAAACCAAACTAATAAAATTCGGATTTTTTCGGGTTTTTCAACCTCGGGTTGGTTCGGATTTTTCAAATACCAAATCAAACCATTGTGTCAAATTTTTAAATTTATAAATCAAACCAAACTAATAAACCTCGGATTTTTTCAGATTTTTGGATTTTTCGGTAAAGTTTGCATACAAACACATAATTAACTTGTGCTCCAAATATTTCTTTAGTCCAACCAAAATACAATTATCTAAGGTGTTTCTTAAGAAAATAACACAAAATATGAGATGAGTGATGACACTAAAATATTCAATAAAAAATAATAATGAAATCATCATATAAAATAA